GGGACGGGGTTGGAGTCGGGCCACACCCCGGGGTGGTCTGGCGACCCAGGGCACCTCCCGGCGCGGCGCGTCCACTCCGGGTGCCGTCTCTCCCTCCCCACTACAGTCTCAGGCACACGTGAGGCCCGAGAGCCCTCCCCAGGACGAGGTCAGATGTACACTTGACCAGGGAGGAGCGGGTGACAGGGTAAGGACAGCAGGTCCCCTCACCTCCTTTGCTCCCCGGACCTGCGCGCCGCCTCAGACTGCGGTCCAGTAGCTGATGTGTCCGCGTGGGGCTGGCCCCTGCCATCAGCCGGGCTGTGGCCTCATGCAGAAACACCTGCTCCCGTGAGGTAGGAGAAGTGAGGCTTGGCCCAGTCCCCACTCCCCCACCTTCATGTCCCCAGTGTTCAGCGAGAGAATTGTGAGCACTCACCCTCCGCATGGCAGGGCGGGAGCTCTGTGCCAGGCGCCTCAGGCCACTCAAGTCCCTCTGGAAGCCACGAAGCTCGAGAGCAGAGGCCTGGAGCCCGCTGCCGGCACCCTGGGCCACCTGGGTTGAGGTAGGTGGCTGCTGCTGTCGCCACAAACTAGTGCGTGCCACAAGGAGCAGGTCACAAAGGAGCAGCTGCACAGCCTGGGGGTGGCAGGCAGGACAGGGGTCACAGGGGCTGCAGCTCTAGGAGGGTGGGGGGCAGCGGTGCCAGGGGCCAACCCCGGGCTGCACTGCCGAGGCACTGCACCCGCCTCACACACATGCAATGCAACAGCAATGCACCCAGGGGCAGCCCGCCTCTCCAGGCCCCCACCACCCTTGCCCCAAGTGGCATCCACCTTTCTAACCCCTGGCCTCCCAAGACAGGCCCTACCAGCTGCTGTCCATAGCCCTCTTCCTAGGGGAAGGGATACGGAAGCCAGCGGGGGCAGCCACCCGCACCTGGATGAAGCCTAAGCCACAAACAAGGTCACCCAGACACCTTGTCCCGTGCTATCTGGGCTAACCCTGAATGGCAGGGCAGTGGAGGGCAGTAACCCAGCCCAGCCAGGCCCCCAGCCCCACCCCTCACCTTGTCAATGGAGCTGCTAGTTGGTGTGGTAGCCAGGCTGTCCTGCAGGTAGCCGCTGGCCTTTTCACAGATGGCCAGGCTGGCCAGGCCCGACTCTGCCTTTCCACGGCCCAGCAGTGCCCGGACAGCCTTGAAGGAATGCAGAGCTGCCCTGGGCAGGGGTCTCCTGTCAGGGCCAGGACAGAGGGATACCAGTCAGACCAGGCCACGGGCCCTCCCGGGTCCCTCCACACTCGTTCTGGATTCCTGGGGGAGTAGCACAGCAACCCCTACCCCACAGAGCAAAGGTGGGTACAAGCAGGGTGCTGAGGGGCTGGGAGGAATGCCCGGGGTCCAGGGTGGTGACAGTCTCTCCGTGCACGTGCACTCACTCATTTTCCTGCAGGGCACGGGGCAGGTGTTCTACCAGTGGGTACAGCCGCTCTGCTGCTTCTTCGTCACGCCGCAGCCAGTGGATGACCACAGCTGTCAGTGAGGCCCACCACTTAGCCACTGGGTCTGTGCCTGCAGAGGAGGGAGGGGTGCCAGGACCTTTAGCCACACTATACCTGGGCCACACATGGAGTCAGGGCAGGGCTCCCAGGGCTCACCGGTGGTGGCAGCCATGCCCGAGCTGATGGAGAAGCTGCAGGCAGGGGTCCCGGCAGCATCAGAGCAGCTGTTCAGCAGCTGCAGGTAGGTGAGGGCATCTGAGAATTCCCTGTTGCAGGACAGATGGGAGAGGTTCTGGGGAGGATGCCCTCCTTACCTACCCACCAGTGCACAGCCTGACCCCATGGTTCTACAAAGGGCACATCTCTTCCTGCCTGGCTGGTGGGGAAAATGAGACCTAAAGAGGCCCTGAGAGCATGTGGCAAGTGACAGCAGCCCAGCTTCCTGGACATGGCCATTCCCAGACTCCATGTTGTCAGCATTCTGCCTGGAGGGGGCCCCTGAAACACTCACCTGTCCCCATCAGTTGACCCCGGGCTGGGGCTCAGGCTGGGCTGGGCCACACAGTTCAGCGCTCTCTCCAGGAGATGCTCGCGGAATAGCTGAGTCACCTGGGCCAGGGGGTCCACTGTGGACAGGAGTGGGCAAGTGAGCATGGGACAGCGCCTCCTATCCACACCCAGGGCCAGACAGAAGTACCAGCTGGGCCCTAGAAGCAGCCCCCACCAAAGACAGGAGAAAGGTGGAGGAAAAGTACCCCGGCCCCTGCCACTAGGGAGGACAACACTGTGTATACCACACTGTCTCCCAAAGGTCACCTTACCACAGCGGCCCTGATCCCGCTCCCTCTGTCCTACTTCCTTACTCCACAGTGGTGCTGCCCAGGATCACCTCTCTGATCAATACACTGTCCTCAGAGCCTCGCACTAGTTCTGAAGAGGCTAAACCAGAGCAGAAACCCAGCCAGGATGCCCAGTTCCTACAGCCCCCGAGGCTTCAACCCACAGTGGGGAGATGAAGTAGGGTGGGTGGGGACACCCAGTTAGGAAGGGGACAATGAGAAACAGGTTAGGGCCAAGGTACAGGACATGGAACAGGGACAGGGTTAAGACAGCACCTGGGTTCCCAGCCAAGCTGTACAGGCTTTCCCTCGGCACACTGCACACGGCCCAGTCACCATCCACGAAGAAACGGTGGCCCACAGGGTGGCAGAGCCACTGCATGGCAAGAGGCACTGAGCCACTCTGTGCCAGGCAGGCCTGGCGGGCACCACTCAAGAAGAAGCGCTGTGGGAGAGGGGAGCCAGGCTGTCACAATGGCGCCAGGCAGGGGGTCAAACCAGACCCCAGCTGAGAACACTGCTAGCCCTGGAGCCCACCTGGTAACTGCCTGCCACACGCTATACAGACGGCCCTTCGCCTAAGGGGCCACCTGAGAGGGCTGCAAAGACAAGCTCCCAGCCCTGTCCCTACCAGCCCACCACCCACTCACTGTCAGAAAGTGCAGGGCTCTCGGGAGACTGGTCTTGACTCTCAGGGCAGCTGCTACATAGATCTCTGCCATCGTTGCCATGGTCACCGTGTCCCCTGCACACTCCGCCAGGTTCAGGGCATTCAGTGCCAGGTTGGTGGCAGCAAGATGCCCCCCTGTGTACTTCCCTGGAAAGCAGAGGGTCTGAGGTCAGAAGGAATCGTGCAGCAGGGGGATCCCTCAGGCCAGCTCCCAACCCTGCCATACCCATGGCATGCAGCTGGTGCAGCTTGTGGTAGACAAGGGCTGCGTCCCGGGCACTGGCGCGCACATCTGCCTTTAGGGCACAGTCCCTCTGTAGGCCCCCAGCGCGGCTGGCCAGCCAGCGGCCCACCCAGAGGCGCTGTAATAGGTGGCGGATGAGGTTCCAGAGCAGGCTGCAGGCCAGATCCAGGTGGGAGGTAGGCAGGGGCCGGCCCAGTGCTCGCAGGGCCAGCCACAGCTGCTGTGCAGCCTGGGCAAAGTCTCCCTGCAAGAGGGTTTTCCAGGTAAGAAAAGTAGCACCAGAATGTCTCCCTCTGTCTGGGTCCCTGGTTCAGTGGGAGTCTGGGCAGGACAGGAGTGGGGAGAATGGGCAATGAATGGTATGTGCAAAAAGCAGGCAGCAGGTGACACCCAGCAGCTTCTCAGCCTGGGGGCCCTGGTGCTGCCCTACCTTGCCCCAATCCTTCCCCGTGGCAACCCTTACCCGGGCCAGGTCCAGGTCGGCCTGCTTGCGATGTCTCCAGAAGTGCACCGCGGGGGCTGAGTGCGGCCGAGTCACCGGCTCTCCATAGACAAAAAGAAGTGCCAGGGAGACCAGCACCAGCAACCCATTGCCCAGCCAGACCAGCGGGGGCAGCAGCCAGGGAGCCCAGCCAGGGCCATCTGAGGGCAGAAGGAGGTGCTAGGGACACAGCTCCTAGGAAGCCCAGAGTCCCATGCACAGCGGAGGGTCTGCACCCCCAAGGGTCCCTCCCAAAGATACCCTGGCTGGCCTGACCTACCTCTGCCCTCGGCACCCAGCATGGCACGCCCAGGACTGTGGTGGACACTGGTGGCATCCAGGGGGCTGGGAAGCCCCCGGCTACTCATCAGGGAAGCCAAGGGGTTGTAGAACAGACAGAGGAAAACCAGTGCACACAAGGCCAGGCGGGAGCGGTCTAGCATGCCTCGGCTGTGGGGAGACGGCAGCTGCCCTGGCTTCACCTGGAGGGTGGGCAGGGCAGTGAGGGCAGGCCCAAGCCGGAGGACACAGGGCTGAAGGGGGCACTGGGATCCTCCAGGGCTCCAGGCTCAGCCTCTGCCTATGAAATGGGAGGTAAGCTATTCCTGACCCATCCTGGAACTCAGAGGACACCACTGGGAGAGGGAACGGGAAAGTCCTGTAGGGCCCAACCTGGCTGTCCTCGATGACTGGACTGTCAGGCTCCGAGTCACTGCCGCTGCCACCGCTACCACTACCCCGGCTGCCAAAGGACAGAGGGCTGCTCTGGGAGGGCGAGCCGGCATCCGAGGGCGGCGGAGTCAGCGTGTCTACCACCTCAGACTTCACACCCTCCATGACAACATCTGCATTTCCTCCACTGCCACAGTCAGACACCAGATCCTTCAGTGATTCTGTGGGACCAGAACAGGTAGAGCTGGGGTGAAAGCTGGAATCCCCAGCCTCAATCAGCTTAGGGTCCTGGGAGAGAGACTACCCTGAGGCTGGGGGGAAGGGGGCCAGGGCTAGGTTACTGCCAAAAGAAGCCAGTGTAGTTGGAAAGCCAGAGTTGACAAAGAGACAGATTCAAAGGCCCAAGCCAAGGCCAGGCCAGGAGATGGGACCAAACCCAGAGGTGCGGTCATTGTGAGGAGGGGCTGGAGCCAGGGTGGGAACGGGCTAGAGAGAAGTCCAGAGGAGAGACGGAGAGACAGAGGACTCACTGCTTTTGTGGACAGCACTTCGCAGACTCAGGTTCTCCTGCTTGAGTTTCTGGTTGCTGTGTTGTAAGAAACGGATATAATCGATGGCCTTGCGCAAGACAGCAGATTTATTCAGCTGTAGCGGGGAAAGGGGGAGAACACAGTTGGCCAATCATGACTGGCTGTAGCCACCTGACAAGGGAATGCAGTTACTCTGGAACATAACTGCCTCAGGATCTTTGCACTTGATGTCCTTCCATTACTATCGCCAGGGCAGAAATAGGGATTAACATGCACAGTACACAGAATAGTGTCTGGTAAGGTGCTGCTATCATTATGAGGCTCTTCATGCCTCATTCCCTCATCTCCTTCAGGGCTCTGCTGGGGTATCACCACCGTGAGTCCTTCTCTGGCCACCTGACTTTGATTTGCAACTTTTACCATCCATCTTCCTAGTCTCTTTTTTCTCTGTGTCCCCCCAGCCCACAATAAAGTTGAACTGAATACACAGGTCTGCCCAGCCACAGCAAGCTCGAACCCAGGCCCCTACTGTCCAAGCTCAAGGAGCCCTGCTCCTTCCAGGGTCACGCATTCTGAGCTTTAGCAGGCTCTGCCCACACCTTTGCCTCCGTGCCCACTACCAGGTCCTTGAGCTCCACGATCTTGTCGTTGATGGAGGAGCGGTAGCGCTTCTCGATGGCATTATGGGCTGTGCGCTTCTCACCACGGCTCTGGGCTGAGCCTGGGGTTTTGCTGCCAGCCGCAAGCCGGTTGATGGGCAGTTTGTCAGTGTCCACGACCAGCGGCACGGTGGCCAGGATGGTCCCGCCGCTCACCAGAGTCTGCAGGGCCGAGCACGTGTTAGCAGGCGGGCGTGCTCGTCTACAGTCCCCACACCCTTCTACCCACCCACGTCACTCACTTGCAAGGGCCCTGTCTGCACAGCTGTGCCAGGGGCCAGAGAGCTGATACCCGCTGCCTTCACAGTGGCCCCCACATCTGTTTTCATAGTTGTCAGGAGCAACGAGTCTGCCTTGATGAAGTGTGGCTGCAGCAGGACCTGGCAGTGGGAGAGAGCTTGGCCATGAGCTACATCTGGGCCAAGGACTGCCACCTCCCCGACATCGGGCCAGACTCCCTCACCGGGACCTGCTGGATCTGGGAGGTCACAGTGGTTGTTCCAGGGGCTGCTGTGGCTGTCAGAAGCTGCTGGGGGGCCATACTCTGAACTGGGGTATGCAAGGAGGTGGGTGTGACGCCTGTCGGGGAAGCCAATGGTAGGGCAGGCAGTGGCTGCTGGGTGCTCCCGGGAAAGGCTCCTACAGAGACAAAGCCCAGGGCTTCAGGCACTTTCAACCCACTCTTTAGGTCACTATCATCCATGCCTAGGATGAATCATTATCCCTTCTAGTTTCCTACTGGACAGGCCCTCCCTGGATCTGATGAAAACATGCTGACCAGGCCTCAGTGGGAGGCCATGCTCCACCCAGCGTGAAGGACAAGAGCACCTGAGTCACCAAGTGTCTCAAGCCTGCAAATCCTTTCATTAAGACCACAACTGACACTTCCTATGCCCCTGGCAGCCTTGCTCCCTGTCCCCTCGCACCCTGTACCCCTCTTACCTGCCACGAAGCCTCCAGGAGAGCTGGAATAACTCAAAACAGGGGTGGAGTTGAACTGTGGAGGGGCTGGGGCTGGAAAGCTCTGAGGCAGGAGGGCCGGTAAGGGCTGTGGGGTGGGTGGCTGTGGGGCTGGAGATGGCAGGGTAGAGGGCTGCAGGATGGTGAGTGGCACTGGCTCTTCTTTGATACCATGCCCAGGGGAGAAGGGGGTCACAGAAGAGAACATCTTCAGTGGGGTGAGTACAGACTGGGGAGGGGATGAAGGCGGGGGTGTTGCCTTGGACCCCCCCAGGAGTGCTTCCAGAGGGGAGCTCAGTGATGGAGGCGGAGACAAGCTGCTTGGGGAGCAGGCACCAGGGCTGGCGGGGTCTGTGTCTCCTGCCCCAGTCCCAGCATAAGGTGGATCAAACAGGCCAGGGAAGTCGCTGTCTTGGTTGTTGATGAGCTGAAGCATGTCTGGGAAGGAGAAGAGCACGTGTGAGAGCAGAGCTGAGTGGAGGCTGTCCCTGAGCAGAGCTTGTTTGCGCACTCCCTGACCACACACAGCTGTTCATGTGTGGGCAAAGCCACAGAGACAGAAAGCCACCCACGTGAGCCAGAGCTCCTGGACGCGGCCTTTTCTCGGGCACCTGTGTGGCATGACACCTAGCGCACGTAGCATGTGCACCCTACGACCCAGGCACAACAGGACAGCATGGGTGTGCCTGGGCTGGATGTTTGCCTCAGCATCCAACAGTGTCCTCAGTCCGTGGCGCACAACTGGCCCAAGCTCATTCCTTCATTCGCTCACCCAGTAAGTGTGTGCCAAATGCCCACACCATGCCAGCAACTGCCGCTGACCATGGACACAAGAGACACGACGGGCACAGTGATTCAGGCCTGTAATAGTCCAGCTTCTCAGGAGGTGAAGACAGGATCATCAAAGCCAATGTGGGCAACATGGTGAGACCTTTGTCTCAAACAAAACAAAACAAAATCATGCCCAGAACCAGGTCACTTTCTGAGGACCTGAGAACGTCCAGCATCTTGCTTTAGTTTTGGTTTGATGATGGGGATCAAATCCAGGTCTTCACACATGCTAACCACAAGCTATACCACTAACCCACACCTCCAAGATCCTGCCCTGTGACCCAATATAGAAATCAGTAAACTTTCATTCCTGTCTTCATGGAGAATATAGACCACCCACCTCCGATTATACACACACTCGCACGCACACACACACGCACACACACACACACACACACACAGGGGCACGGCTGTCTTGGCCCCTTTGGAGCCTGTTTTTCAGCCTGGGGGGTGTGGGGCACACCTCACATACCCAGCAGGTCCACTTCTGAGGAAGGGGATGGGCCACAGCAGCCAGAGGGAGGAGGCAGGCAGGACAGGTGTGACACAGGACAGATGGTGTCTCCACATGGTACCTTGGGCCCATTCCCCATCCACTGGCCACTCCTGGCCTCTTCTACAGCTACCCAGAAAGGTTCTCTGAGTACAGAATTCGGGTGGAACTTAGAGAACGATGAGAAGTAGGTAGCAACACCAAGCATCCTCTTAACTTACAGAAGACAGAGGTGTAGAGAAAGGCAGGATGGCTCAAGGCCCTGACAAGACGGTAGGGTAGTCCATGCCAGACCTAGCTTTGCAGCCCAGGACCCTTAAAGAGGAAAGGTGGACAGAACAGACCTCCAAGAGGAGCACAGGGCAAAACAAGATCTGTATCCCTGCTGGAAGGACTTATAAGGAGGGCAGTCGTGCCAGCAGGGAGGAGTGCAGCCAAGAACCAGGGATACCCTGGGGTCCCTCACACTGATGGGACAAGGCTGGGCCCCAAAACCTCCTAGCACACAACTCCGAGAAGGTAGTCTGTAGTATGGTGCCCATTCTATTGGTGAAGAAACTGAGCCATAGTCTTACTGGCCTAAGGTATTATGATGTCTGAGACAAAAATGAGTTCCCTGCCTGGTGTGGTGGTGCACATCTGTAATCCCAGCACTCAGGCGGCTGAGACAGGAGGAACACTGCGAGTTTGAGGCCAGCCTGAACTACATAGTGAGACCCTGTCTCAAAAAAAAAAAAAAAAAAAAAACCAGAAGAAACAAGGAGCAAAACCACCATCACCAACAGAGACTTGGGACTGAGCCAGCTGCTGGACACGTAGCCAACCAGTATATCTCTATGTTCTGGGCACATATCCAGGCCTTGCTTGCAGCCAAGTGGCCTCAGGATCCAGGTCTGGCCTCTTAGGGCTTTGGTTTTCCCTCTATGAAAGCAAGTGCTGTGTATCTGACTCCCTCCTCTTCATACAGCCTGGGATACACTCCCTACCTCAGCCCCAGCCTGGCCACAGGCCCTCTCCCCTAGCTGGCGACTAGCAGCCTAGCTGGCTCAGTTCTGGGCCCTCTAACCCACGTGGGGCTGCCACCTACTGGGTCAAAGACTTACTGGTCTAAATTCGTATGGTGCCTGAAACAAAACTGAGTCCTAAAGCCCCAACCACTGGCCATAAAGACCACCTTAAGTCACAGTATACATAAACTCAGCCCTGGGGTCCCCAGTACCCACAAGATCCCCAGCCTGAGCCTCATCCCTGCCCTCCAGGTCAGGTGGAGCCTGAGCCAATAGCCTCCTTTCATTGGGCCTCAGGTTCCTCATCTATACAACAGAAAAGATTAAACCCTTTTCGCAGCGTTGCCAGAGGCTTTGCCCAGTACAGTGGGGACTCAACATTGCTGCCCACAGGTGTGGAGGCAGGAAAGTTACTGCAGGAGGGGACAGATATCCTTAAGGCCATAACAGAGCAAGACAGGGTGACAGGCTCAGCCTCCCTGGATCCTCAAAGAGAAACACTCTGTGGGCCTTCCAGGATCATGCAGATCATCAAACCACACAGTAATTTTAATTGCAGGACCTCCCAGCCCTCACCCACCCATGTGAAGTCCCTTGTTAGACCGGGGAAACTGAGACCCAGAAAGACAAACTGATAATTTTAACAATCTGCGGCTCCCATCTTTTGCCTGAGGAGTCCAATACACCCACAAAAGGCAGGGCCACCAAACAGTTTGAACTCCCTGGTAGAGAGAAGGATCCTGGCCAGAAGGGGCACACAGATGTGGAGAAAGCCACCCCAATCCTCTAAGTTCCAGGATGTTGCTATCAGGTCTCTAAGCAAACCCTTCCCTTGAGTTGCACGGGTACTGAGGTTGGCGGTGGTCTGCCAACTCCCCCAGGGAGCCAGAGCCAGAACAGCTTCTGTACTCTCAAGAAGGGGCCTCCACGACCTGCTAGGTGGGAGGAGATCCAGGCAGTGTAATAGAGCCTGCAAAAAAAAAAAAAAAA